TAGGTAATTAGTTAACCAAGACATATGCAGCACTAGCTGCCTCTGTCCCCTGTGAAGTCACTGAAAGTAACAAGGTTTTAATTATGTATTTTCAAGAATTTGTTTTCTAATTTTGTCTACGTTCTTGTATTTTAACATAATTGTAGGAGCTGGTTCTGATATGTTAAACTTAAGAGTGCAAAGATTGTGTAATCAGTTTTAACATGATGGTTATGAAATAAATGAAAATAACAGCAATAATAATCCTTTTTTTGTTTTAAATAATAAAAAGGACAGTGTTTGACTGCGAATAAAGAACACAAGAAGCGAATATTGTTTTCTATCAGCTAATCTTTACTTTTACATCTGATGCAAAATCCTTCCTGAAACATTCTGCAGTGAATATATCCGCCCAGGTTGAGCCCAAATCTGAGGATCCCCGTGGGATTCAAACGCCCTGCACCTTTTACTTTATCTGATATGACCAACAGAAGTTAAATAAGACATGCAAAGATCCACATGTAACAGCTGAGACTGTTACAGGACCACTTTATATGTTTGTTATTCTTCAGATTTAAAAGAAATGTACATTTTACTTGTCAAACACAAAACAAACAGTGTTTACAGTCTAGGCCCGCCCCCACAGTAACACCTCCAAGTCCCCCCGTTTGACCGAGATAAATAGAAGCAAAATATTCATGTTTTTTACAGAAGAGTATAGATGTTCGTCTAATGTACAGTAGCATGCTTTCACTGGCACAAAAAGTTATCCAGAGGGTTCAGTTTACACACACAAACATACCTTTTCAGGTGTTCAGGTTCATGCAGCTGTGACACATCAGCCCAAAAGAACAGTTCTGTTCTAGTCGGGGAACCGAACAAAAATCATTGGTCTGTTTATTGCAGAAAGACTGTCCCATCTAGGACTTGTTCAGGAGGTTAAACTGGGACAAAGAACAGTAATTTAAATAAATTTACAGAATAAAAATCATCATATGAGTGAGAAGTAACCAGTGAACAGAACCCAAGCTGAACAAACTATACTGATGACTTAAAGCTGTTTTAGTTTGGTGCGTTTTCAATTTTTGCTCAATTTTTGTGTATTTTAGGTCCATCAAACTAAAGAAACTGACAGGGTGCCTGCTTCTCCATTAATTGCAGCACTTGTTCTTACATATAAATAACTTTTTATTTCTAATCTGTTAAAAAAAATACAAGGTTAAATTTTTAGGATCCTTTTCTTTTGTTACTTTTTTCAGACAAAAGGTCAGAAAATATTATGGAAATATGAGTGCAAGGGTTTAGTCAATCTTTAAATGATAATAAAAACAAAATCTCCTAAACTGTCAGGTCTTATCTAGTGGCCAATACACAATCAAAATGCTGTAAGCTAAGAAAACTACTTTATACAAGAATAACTGTGTTTGACTAATCTTAAAGTTTATCTGATTAAAACAATCTGGTCAATAAACCTGGGATTTTTTCAGAATTCAGTAGGATGGATGGATAGATGGATAGATGGATGGATGGATGGATGGATGGACCAATCAGAGTTAGGCAGCCTTACTGGTTGAAGGAGCATGAGAGTTTACTTAGAGTGAAAACATCCCACAAAGTCACGCTAGCAGAAATAATTAAAGCAGAAATATCACAGGGAATCAAATGCTGTCAGTAATATCAAAAGGCCATTCAAAAACACACAGCTAAAAACAGTCCTTATTGGGTGTTTTTAGCTGTTTTGTTCTGCAAAGAGACTAGGCTTACTGGAATAGTAGGGGGGCTGAACAGTTATTTCAAATGAGCTCCACTGGCTAAGAATGGTCAATATAAAAATGAATTAATTTAGTAATTTCTTGCCCTATTTCCTCCTTATTTTTGTTTTTACAAGTCATGAGCTGAAGAGAACACAGTTAGGAAGTTGTTCAGACAAATGAAAGACAATTGGTTAGATAAAGTTAAATATGCTCTTGCAAAACTGCCCAAGTGGTCTGCTTCTGTTGCAAAACAGCTGAAGAAAGCACTTTTCTGTCACTCTGTGGTTTATAAGGTTTTTAAAAAAGGTTATTTATTAGTACTAGTGGCCTTATATGAAAACATACGAGGTGAAGAGAGAGGTTAGGTTAGGATTCAGTTGGATTAAGAATTGTAATTAAGGTTTCCTTGTGCTCCCTCTGCTGTTGTTCCTGTGAAATGCTCCACATTGTCATTTTTTTTTTTAGGTGAACCTGCTTTGGTTACATAACAGAAAACTACTGAAGAAGGAAGGGAGGCAAAAATCATACCTCAAGATTATTCTTACTAATTACTTCCTTGTAAGTATGAATAATCTGAGGCATGAGGCCTGTTGCTGCTGTCATGGTTCCTCCATGTTTGCTGAGGGTTAAAATGACTGCAGAACATTCAGAACTGCTTTAGCTACTTTAGTAATGAAAATGAAAAACACCACCACCAAAGTAAAGACCAAAAGAACAGAGAAATTATTCCTTTCTTTCTGTTTAGTGAGACAGAAATGTTTTGGCAGCCTGTTATGGGAGTTATCACACCTCTCCCTAAGCCCATCATCTATGCCGACTTTTTTTTCTTCCCACATATTATTCAGCAACTGTTGTGTGAATGAACGGAAATAAAATGAGGGTGTGGTTATTTGGATAGGTTGAAATGTTTACTGGACGTCTGCACTTGAGTTTCTCACAGGGTATTAAATTGTTCTGGTTCTGGTCTCTGCTTCTGTCTCCTTGAACCCCAGTCGGCCTCAACAGATGGCCGCTCACACTGAGCCTGGTTCTGCTGCAGGTTTCTTCCTGTTAAAAGGGAGTTTTTCCTCTCCACTGTTGCTACACGCATGCTTAGTATGAGGGATTGCATCCGAGTCAATAAATCAATGTAATCAACTGGTTTTCCTTAGATAGAAAAGTTTGAATTAATTTGACTGTATGATCTGGTTGAACTGTAAAGTGCCTTGAGATGACATGTGTTGTGAATTGGCGCTATATAAATAAACTGAATTGAATTAAATAAACTGTCACCTTTCCACCTGAGTAAACACTGATCACATCAATTGAAGCAGTCGTGACATTCCTATAATCCTAGAGTCCAAACAGACTTTGGAAATTAGCTATTGATGGAAATAAGCCTACTTGGAAACCTTTACATTACTCATCAAATGATCAAATTTGCAGTAAACCCACTAAGAGATGCTCACTTTAATAAATATGTTGATGTTTGGACTGATTTGGCCACTGTTGCCAAATAAAGGTGCATTTTCAGGTTCGACAGCTTGCCTCTTCTAATCATTGGCTTTCTGTTCTGCATCATGTTTTTTTTTTTTTACTTTGGAAGCCCCTGTACAAAAAAGAGGTAGAGAGTGTGGTTTCAGATCAGATGAAAGGGTTTGATTTTCAGCAAACATTAAGATTAAGCTTCTGGGAAAGGTTTTGAACATTTAAGATATCTGTGGTCATTTTGAGCATAAATATGTTAGTAAGAACTTGTCTAAAACCAAACTTCAGTATGTACAGTGCAAACAGGAGCGCTGATATCGCTGATAAAGTGTAAACAACACGTTTTTTTTTTACAAAGCTCACAAACACGACTGAACTACCTGAACGCTACAAACTGGAGCTACACGATCAAGTCATGCAGCTGCAAAGACAAATCTGCAGGCATCTTCAGTAAAGAGTAGAAACGATTAGAAAAAAAAAAGGTCCAGCTTGTCCTTTCTGCGGTTACAGCAACATTTAGGTCTGAACATGCATGCTCTGGAACAGAAAAGGATGCGGCAGAAGAAGCTGAGAAGCTTTAGAGAGCCAGCAGCTCTCTTTGTCCCTCCTTGTTGGAGTTTAATGAGATACAATCAGTCTGCTCTGTCCTGAGGGTGCGAGGAAGAGTCCATATTCTTGCAGCAGAGGAAGAGGAGGACAGAGCCTCTATTTGTCCCAGTTGAGAAAATAAAGGGAAAGTTCAGCGTTTTTGAGACAAACTGTTTACATGTGATGTTTGTGTTCAGTTGAGAGCTCAGAGACCGATGCTCAGAGATGTTGATGGCAGCTCGGCTTTTTTCATTTTTAAAATTGTATAATTTGTAACACCCAAATGGATTTGGATCTTTCCAGAAAAGATTTAACCAACAAGCCATGGCCACAGCAATAGCTCCAGCTTATAAAGCTCTTCACTTTTCAGAGAAGAGATTTTAGTTTCTTTGCAAGCATTAATTCTTCTGGGTTTTTTATTTTTTTTATTTTTTACATAAATCTTCTCTGAATTGTTTTTATCCATGGTAGAAAAATCTAGCAAAACAAAATGCCCAGAATGGTCAAACTATTTGTGTTTGCATGTCTTAATTCAGGATATATATATATATATATATATATATATATATATATATATATATATATATATATATATATATATATATATATATATATATATATATATAAATACAGTCAGAACATCCATAATGGAGAAGGAATGCTTGTCCAGTTTGGGTGATATAAAAATTTAAAGTAGAGCTCAATTAAATATTTTAATAATCGGACGCACACATTTGAGTGTATTATTGATTTTTATCAACAAAGGCTCTTTTTTTTAAATATCTGCATACACCATACTTTTATGGGAAATATAAACTGCCATACATTGTTTTCTGCGCCTTTAGAGAAATATGCATCTGTGTCTCAGTTTAAGCCATATACTTGTTGAATCGAGGTCTAGTTTTGTAATTAAGCGGCACTTCTCCTCCTTTATTAATCCGTCAATTTTATGCGACAGCAGTGTAAATTGGAGCTAGATGATCATGCAGCGCCACCATGTCTGAGAGCTGAGTTCTCATGACTTAAAGCATCATTGCAAAACAGCTCCAAATAAAACATCTTAGTGTGGCTTAAATGTATGGTGGAATTTTTTTCAAAAATGTATGTAAGAAACACCGAGTCACAAATGTTTTTGAATAACAGAGCATCGGCATGACCATTCTACCTGCTCTTCTGCCATCATGTAAGGAATCCAACAAATACACTCTGCTCTTATTTATTTCTTATTATTTATTTATTCCTCTTCCTCTCATGAATTTGCAAGACTTCTTTCTGCTTGCTTGAAACTATAAAGTGATAGCAGTTGAGCTAACTGGATACATAAAGACTAGATTTGCACAGCAAGAGCACGCAGATTAATATTAGGTTAGTATTTCCCAAAGTATAGAATATGGGACATCCAATAGATAAAATCCCCCCAGGACTTGAGTCTTAGGCAGGTAACGTTGTGTACCTTATGCTTTCTTCACACTGAAGGAAGAGCTCGGTTGGTACTTCTATACCTTGTAGAACGTAGTTGGATAATGGCAATTTTTGGACAAATTCATGCCACATGTACAGATGTCTGCAGCAAAACCCTATGATTCTAGCACTAAAGAATTGCTGATACTAGAAGATCACTCCATGCTAATACCATAATATAATAGCCTCCTTGCTAGTGTTGCACAATATTGTGCTGACCAAACCACATGCCTTACTACAGAAGTGTTTTGCTTGCACAACAAAAGCATGAGGAACCCAAGTTTTTCTAGGTCCTGTTGGGTTAAACCAGAATTAAATATATTAGAATTCAAATAAAAGGGATTTAGAGAACCTGCTTTGTATTTTTGTCTCCAGCTCTCTACTGAAAACAATCATGACAGTAAGTGTCTCGCCAACATATGTCTGATTTAGTTTGTTTTGTTAGAAATATTGAACCACTCCTGTAAGTGGAAATAATCCAGAGACTAGCCTAACGTGGCTTTTCTTCACAGCGGAAATTGGCCACAGCTCTTAATCAAAGTGAAGCATCACTGGTCACTAACATCTCCATGCGCATTGTCCTGCAGCCAGAGAACAATACAATCAGAACACATTTGGAAGATTAAGCATAGTGTAAATAATTCCTTATCGAAATGAAAATTACCCGGGCCTTATCAGGAAGAGCCAGAACAAATTGATCATTTGAACAACCAGATCTGGAGGCCTTTTGTCTGTGGTTACATTAGTTTGGACCTTAATCACTTTTTACAGAAAAATATACTATTAAACCAGATTTTTAGTCTGAGGCAAAAAGTTTAACTTTTTTTGGTGAAAAATACCTTAACTTTTTTCTGCTCATCTCAGGTTTTACATTCACCAGGAATCCAACAGACAGGATTCACAAAAACCCATATTTCTCTTTAAACGGGGCTGAGAGTGAGTTCAACCATTAGCGGCAGATATTAGCTCTTTTGGTTTCTTCCGCTTCCCCAAAGCAACCATTAGCATGAGATCAGCTATTGAGTGATTAACCCAACAAATACACCTCAGACAGAGGCATTGCTTAAATTTACATAAATGTTTTTGTTCCTGGTTGTCCGGAATGCTTGTAAAGAACGACTGGAAGGCGCAACTGTTGGGTTTTTGTTGTGAAACTGAGGCAGCTCTCTCCAATGTTCACTGGCACTGAGTGGTTTTAGTGCTAGGCTCTGCCCCCGGCGTGAAGCCGTTGCTTAGGTTATTGGGACTTGGCGGTGAAGCCAGTGGGGTTGTTGCGTCCCCTCTGTGGACTGACTCAATTACAGAGCAGCTCTTCTGCGGCAGGCGTGGTTGGACCAGCATGGATTTTGGGATGACTGATGCCTGTCGAAGCCCGCCAGAACGCAGCGGCGGTCTGACGAGGGCGGGACCTGTAGGTGACGCATCAGAGCTGTGGGGGTTGGGGCTACATGGAGGGGAGGGACTGAGGGCCCCCTGATCGGGAAGCTTGGTTTCATCCTTGTGGGGAACCTGCTGATCGGGGGGTATGGCCTCCTTTTCCTCTGGGGCGGGTCCTGCTGACTCAGGAGGCGGGTCTTGGTGCATGCTGCTCTGCCTGGACGTCCCTGAACCTGGAATCTCGCAGCTGTCGGTGCGACGTCGGGATCCTTCATGCATTCTGCTGGTGGCTACGACAGCCTTCATGGCAGCCTGTTGACAAAGGCAGACATTGACTGCTTATTTTATGCAACGTTTAGAAGCAACGCCCTGTGATGCTCTTTTTGTGGAGCTGTCAACAGCATTTGACAGCATAAATCAAGACAGATATACCAGGGGCTATATAGAAGTTGTGTTAAATGAACTGTGATACAATTAGTTGAATTCACAAAACGTTGTTTCAAACCATCCTTTATGGGAGCAAGAGATTTCTCAAATTATAAATAAAACATATGCGGTCAGAATAGGGAAGCAGCTCTTTACCTAACAGGTAGACAAACTGGCCTGCAAGGTAATCTGTTACCGGAAAATAATACCTCTTGATTGAAACAACCATTAATTTAAGAAGAAAAAATGACAACTTAGGCTCATAACACTGCAATACATTCCCTGCAATCCTCCTACATTATAGGCTTCTCCCATCCAGTCAGAGATGTGTGCTGCTGCTAAAAAAATGCAAACTGCTATAAAGACATTTCCCTATGTCCCTATTCCCTTTGTCTATAAATAAGAAAAGGTCTTAATATGATCAGAGTATTTTAACCAATAAAGCCTTTTGGAATGTTTTGAATAAAACAAAAAAATAAGAAATAAACTTAAAAGTTAATAGAATAAGAAAAATACGATTGATGTTGACAATTTCTCACCAGACATGAAAAAGGGTGAAATGTTTTACACTCCCAGGTTAATATGATAAATCTTTATTCATAAAGCACATATATTTACCATTCCTTAAGTACATAAAGATATTGGGAAAGGGGCATTTTCCTCGCAGCAAATTCGAATTCCAGCCAATGGACAATTGAGAAAGCATCATTATTAGTTTTTTTATGTTTCTAGTTCATATCTACTGTTAAACCATTGCATTCGTTGCATTTTCTATTTTTCACAACATATTTTGTGTGTTTGTTTAAATAAGTCTCTGTCTAACGTAAAATCAGAAATGGATACCCGAAGATTTTATCTAAGAGTAGCACTACTTATTTTATTTCATTGTTTTTTTTTATTTATTAATTACAAATAAATAATGTGATCAAATAAATAATATTATAATTTCAGCCCTTTCATTATCTTCTTTGTTTTATAGGTTTATTATTCCAGTTTAACCACAGGAATGGGTTTAGATACCTTAAGTTTGCGTCTAGCATTGAACTCTTGCAGTTTCCTTTGAGTGGTGTCCATGTGGGAGAAACGAGCGGCTTTGCCCAGGACCCAGGGGTGCTGAAGGGCCTCTCGGACACTGAGGCGCTTATGAGGGTCAAGAACGATCAGCTTACTGACCTGTAGGGAGAAAAATAATCTGATTCTCATAGAGATCACGGTGAGTTTATGATTTTATCCTAAGTTTAAGCTTTTATTTTTTGTCAAACCATCCATTGTCTTGTGTTAAGCAAAGAAAAGGTGAAAGTCTGATATTCGTTGCTGCATAAACACTGTTAGCACCTAATAAAGCTATCCAAGGTTCTCCTACACCAGTAAGAATGTCTACTGTATGTAACCTGCTTCTTCCAGTGGAATGAGCAATAGATCAATGAAAGGGAGGAGAAATCATTTGATGGCTGAAGAATTCCCTCCTTTTGAGGCAAAGGAGCAGAAGCCATTCACATAATTTCCTCTGGCTGATGGAGTCCTTCACCCGATCTAATACCACCTGCCACCCCACAGAGGAAACTTGTTTTTAGCCTTTTGGCTGAGATTAGTTAATGTCAAAGGTGAGGATTAGAATGTAGCTGGACTATTAAACCCAGAACATGAAGTTACCTAAGCTACACGGCTCTGTTATTTACAGCAGGAAAGCCGGAAATGTTTTCCTCATAGATATAATCTTTATCTTTATCTTATCAATGTTTGGAAACCCTTCACTCTTGGTTGCTGTTACTTGGGAAGATGTTATCTTATTAGTGCCATCAGATCCAATACCTTGATTCAAAAGAAGAACATGCATGCAAGAATATGCATGAATGTCGAGTTTCTGCTGTCGGCATTAAAATAAAAATCACAGTAAACATGCTTCCATTTTACTTTTAAATAGTATAGGATTTCTATCCGGAATGTTTGTTACTTTAAACCAGAGAGGGAAAAATCTGCCTGAACAAATTCAAAAGTATAATTTATAATATAGTTTTTGAAAAAAACATATTTTTCATAAATTCATTTCAAATTTAGTTTTGTTGGAAAATGTCTGCAGAGAAGAGAAACTTACCAAATCCTTAGCATTAAGGGAGACCTCATCCCACCATGGAGACACAAACTCATAATCGCAGTTCAGGATGCGGCTGTACATGTACTGATCACCTCTAGGGTCAAAGAAGGGCTCAAACCCACAGAGTCTGGAGAACATGAAGCAGGATGTTAATGCCTATTAGACTGTCAATAATATCAGAATGTCTATCATCAGGGTTTATACAGGAATGTGTAACTCTAATTTAATGCTTTTTAATGATCTTTTAATGCTCTTAGAAATAATTTTAATGCCCTTTAACATGTATCCATGACTCCACTTAGTCATCTTTACTGTCGACAGGCTGCAGCCATGCCCCGAATTCCGGGTTATCCAGTCACTTTTGTTGAAATTTGCATTTTTCCATTCTCTAGCTTCTTCTCCGCCTCGAGCTTCTTTTACAAATATACGTCTTTACGATCAACCAGAAGCAGTTCCGCGCAAACACGCAGAACCAGTTATATCTAGTATATCTGAAGAAATTGTTTTGATAAATTTACTTTTTTTTAAATAAAACATTTGAAATGCCACAATAATCTCATTTAATGAAAAAAAATATAATTTAATGACTTATAATGATTTTTAAAAACCGGCGGAAACCCTGATCATATAGTTAGAATTCTCGCTGAAATGATCCAATTATGAAAGCTTCTGCTAACTTGACTGCTTGATATCAATTTCTTCCCTTATTCTTTAAAGTGAATGCTGTCTCCTGCAGATAAAATACTGACTGCCAGTGACTACTCCATCCATTACAACCATGAGGCAAACTTGAGACAAGGTTAAAAGCGTGGTGCCAATTATCTCTCTTTCCCTCTGAAATAAAAGCTTCTGCAGCGAACATTGACCTTATGGTCTCTGAATCAGTCTAAGGGCTCCATTAGAACCGCCTTAATGTCTGAGAACAGGCTGGGAGATGATGTTCTGGTTCACACTGTGTCAGTGCCTCTAATGGATGTACCACGAGAAAAAAACATAGATGTGAAAAGTGCACGGACGGGGCTGAGTCGATGATGAATCTCCTTTTTGTGTGTGTTTGTGTGTGTGAGGACGTTCGGGCTGACAGCAGACAGAAAGTGGACTCACAGGATGTACAGGATGACGCCCACTGACCACATGTCCACCTCGGGGCCGTAGGCATTTCCCCGCAGGATCTCTGGAGCTGCAGGGAGAGGAGTCGGTTAGCTGCCAGATGGATGGCAGAAGCTCCAACCAAAAAAATCCTATTGAGCACCAGCTGAGGGGAACACATTGCCGCCCACCTCCGGATGTTAACAAAGCACAGGTGAACACTACAACATTGGATGCTACTGGATTTTTTTTAAGTAAAGCTGTTCAAAAGGGATATATATATATATATATATATATATATATATATATACACTATATTGCCAAAAGTATTTGCTCACCCATCCAAATTATTGGAATCAGGTGTTCCAATCACTTCCATGGCCACAGGTGTATAAATTCAAGCACCTAGGCATGCAGACTGTTTTTACAAACATTTGTGAAAGAATGGGTCGCTCTCAGGAGCTCAGTGAATTCCAGCGTGGAACTGTGATAGGATGCCACCTGTGCAACAAATCCAGTCGTGAAATTTCCTCGCTCCTAAATATTCCACAGTCAACTGTCAGCTGTATTATAAGAAAATGGAAGTGTTTGGGAACGACAGCAACTCAGCCACGAAGTGGTAGGCCACGTAAACTGACGGAGCGGGGTCAGCGGATGCTGACGCGCATAGTGCGAAGAGGTCGCCAACTTTCTGCAGAGTCAATCACTACAGACCTCCAAACTTCATGTGGCCTTCAGATTAGCTCAAGAACAGTGCGCAGAGAGCTTCATGGAATGGGTTTCCATGGTCGAGCAGCTGCATCCAAGCCATACATCACCAAGTGCAATGCAAAGCGTCGGATGCGGTGGTGTAAAGCACGCCGCCACTGGACTCTAGAGCAGTGGAGACGCGTTCTCTGGAGTGACGAATCGCGCTTCTCCATCTGGCAATCTGATGGACGGGTCTGGGTTTGGCGGTTGCCAGGAGAACGGTACTTGTCTGACTGCATTGTGCCAAGTGTAAAGTTTGTTGGAGGGGGGATTATGGTGTGGGGTTGTTTTTCAGGAGCTGGGCTTGGCCCCTTAGTTCCAGTGAAAGGAACTCTGAATGCTTCAGCATCCCAAGACATTTTGGACAATTCCATGCTCCCAACTTTGTGGGAACAGTTTGGAGCTGGCCCCTTCCTCTTCCAACATGACTGTGCACCAGTGCACAAAGCAAGGTCCATAAAGACATGGATGACAGAGTCTGGTGTGGATGAACTTGACTGGCCTGCACAGAGTCCTGACCTCAACCCGATAGAACACCTTTGGGATGAATTAGAGCGGAGACTGAGAGCCAGGCCTTCTCGTCCAACATCAGTGTGCAACCTCACAAATGCGCTTCTGGAAGAATGGTCAAAAATTCCCATAAACACACTCCTAAACCTTGTGGACAGCCTTCCCAGAAGAGTTGAAGCTGTTCTAGCTGCAAAGGGTGGACCGACGTCATATTGAACCCTATGGATTAGGAACGGGATGTCACTTAAGCTCATATGTGAGTCAAGGCAGGTGAGCAAATACTTTTGGCAATATAGTGTATATATATATATATATATATATATATATATATATATATATATATATATATATATATATATATATATATATATATATATATATATATATATATATATATATATATATATATATGGGGTGGGGGTAGTGGTCTACGAATGCATTGCAAGGGATTCATGAAAATATTTTTTATTTCTTATGCCAGTAAAATAGAACTGGGATCTGCTGAGGACCCAATTGAGATACTTAACAAGCTTCTATCATTTTTTTTCCGTTTTTTTTCCAGCTTTTTATTGTCATTACACTGTCACGAGTACAGAGCAATGAAATTCACTCTGCATTTAACCAATCCCCATGGGTCACTTCCCTGACATTTATTTTTTAAAGATGCTCACAACTCAATTTCCCCAATTACTAGTGAAAACCCATCTTTCCCCTAAAGTTTGGAATTTTTAATAATGAAATAAATACATTCTCATAAGTTGCATGGACTTTTGGGACTTCTTTCCCCTGGCTATAACGTTCTGTATTGTAGGTGAGAGATACAAGTAGTGGATATTTTTGTCACAGTTCTGGTTCTGTTATGTTTTCTTTTGAGTATTCAGTTTTACTTACTCTGGTTATTTTCAGTTTTCAGGTTTTTATTTGTTGCCCTCTGCTGCCCTCGTGTGTTCTCCTTTTTCCCTAGCTCCTTTCATGTTCTGTTCCGTTCACACCTGCTCCCAATCTGCTCGTTAGCCCTCTCTTTGTTTCAGTCTCCCATAAATACACCCTCTGTGCAGTTCTTCAGCGCTGGCTCCTCGTCTAACTTCCTCCAACTCCGTCTCTCTGAGTCTTCCTCCTCGTGATTGTTTTCTCCCACATGTCTCCATGGTTTCTGGTTTGTTTGACTTAGTTTTCATGTTTGATTTTTGGATTCCTGCCTCAGTTGTTTGTTTTCACTTCATTAAATCATCAAGAAACTCACCTCTGCCTCCCTGCCTCTGCATTTGGGTCCTCAAACCTCAACCATATCCTGGCATTTTTGTCCTTAGGTTTTAACTTAAACCATAGACATTTTACAATTTCTCATTTAAAATTTAATCTAAAATAAAACAAAAAAAAAACTGCAATTTATTAGACATACATATACAACATACAATCATCAGGCTTAGCTCAGATGTTGAATTGTGTCTGTTAAGAGATGGAATGCATCTATAATATGCAGGACGGTACTCCTGATAGTCAGAATTTGGACATCCCTTCTAATCAAACATATTCCTTTTAGTATTGGTCACTGATCCATTTCCTTACCTGTTCCTACATTGTGAAAAGCAGCAACTATGACAAACATTATCTGCATTGTGCTACACAAGACATGATGCTTGCTTCCAGACCTCAATAGTTTTATCAGAATCATCCACAAACCAGGCTAAAATACATAATTGATTGAGGGCTGATATCTGCTGATCTTTTTTGACATATCTAAGGCTGAAACTAACAATTATTGTGATAAATAATTAATCTTTTGATTATTTTTTTGATTAATCGGACAGGAAAAGGTTCCTTGAAGAAGTTTTTTTATAGGATTAAAACAGGTAAAACAAACATTTTTCCACTTGAGGAGTTCTGATTGGAGCATATTGACAGACAGATGTTTTTTTTTTATCTTACATGCAAATGTAATGTGTAATTTTGTATAATTACTGCTCTAATTGGGCTGCTCTGTCAACTAAAGGCATGTTTTAGAGTCTCTTTTCTATATTTAATCATTAATCGATTAATAAATTAGTTGATGATTATTTCGATAATTGATTAACCAATAAACACTTTCAGTCTCCAAATCAACTCACCTGAATCACATAATTAGTTCATTAATGGGACTTAACAGACCTTAAGATCAGGATGATGTAGTTCAGCCTTTTGTATTGGGAATTTGGGATGTATCCAAAAGCTGCAGGACATCAGCCTTTAAGGACTGACTTTGGACACCAATGTCCTTTGATATACCTGTATTTGTGCATATATGTTTGTCTGAAGTGTCCCGCTGCCTCTCGTCCATTGATTGCTGGAGTTGGTGAGTCATTAACCCCCAGAGCATGGTGAGCAATCAGCAGGTATAGAAGATGGATGAATGGATAGATGAATTTTAAAGGGCTCTTACACTTCTGTACCGTATTACTTCTGCTTCTACATATTGATTGTTAACCTTAAATGATTCAGCCTACATTGGTAAAAGTATAACCAACCATAAAATAGAGTTATTTCATAATATATATATACATATATATATATATATATATATATATATATATATATATATATATATATATATATATATATATATATATATATATATATATATATATATATATATATATATCCTTTCTCTAAACAGTTCTTTACATTTAACCCTAATGATGCCTCACACGTAGTTCTGCGTGTACATCTGCTGCCCAGTGTATTTTACTTACCGCAGTACCCCGGAGTACCACAGACTGTCTTCATAGTGACCTGATCATCGATGATTTTGGAAAGACCAAAGTCGGCTGTAAAACATGAAAACATTTAGACCAAACTGAGTCACAACATGTTTTTTAAAGTTGAAATGATTTTCTGCTGTTTCTATTTTAAGACAAACGCAGCGGCTGAGGCTGTGGAGGTGGAGGAGAATGTGTTTCTCTGCAGGATGCTCTGTGAACTAAATGAAAGGTGTTTGGTAGAGAGCATTCTCACTTGTCCATCTGTAGTGGTTAGCCAGGGGCTCGCTGGCCATCTGGAGGCAGAGAGGCTTCTCTGAAAATAATGAGCCACCAAAGAGCCGGTGGGGCGGCACTAAAACAAGCTTTCTGTAAGAGCTTCTGCTCCTCAGACAGATTAAAGCAAGCAGGATGTTAATTATTTAACGGTTTTGGTAAGAGCTGTGAGAGTTCTGTTATTTTTAGACATGTTTGAGCACTATCACTACATAATCTCATGGATTGCTACCTAAAACAATGGAGAGTTTTCCTCCTGTCTATTGTATCTTATTCTACTTTTACTTGATTTTCATATAAGCAGGTTTCTACTACACCTTGCTGCTTCCATATTCCTTTATCTAAAAACATGACACATTTATTATCCATATGAAAATGCACCAAAATGCTTTTTGTTCTTTTTTTCAGTTTTTGTGACACTAGTGGCTCGTTTTTTCGACAGTAGGCTGAGAGAGGGGCAGACCACAGGCCGGAGCTGAACCCGGGTCGAGGACTAAGGCCTCCGCACCACTGCGCCACCTGCACACCACCAAATTGCTTTTCAAAGGATATTTAACCATCCAGCTTACTGGCGTTAAATGTGAAATATTACAAACCATTAATTCATGCATTACAACATTTTGTACGCACTAACAGAATGTTTTGAGGGCTTATTGACATTTAGGTCAAATTTCAAAAAGTAAACAAGCATCAAAATGATAGGAAACATACAAGAGCTGTTTTGTTTCATCTGATGACATCTAAGAGTGCATTTAACATGGGAAAAAGGTTAATTAGCCAACTAACAGCTTAGAATTGCAGTGTTTCCAAGCCCCAATACACACTTCAGGACTTAAAAAATGCATAAAACCTAAGATTTTGTTCAAATTTGTAATAACTTCAATGTCTAATCAGACACTTTTAGCCAAACAGACTACAAATTATGATATAGCACTGCAATTACTGTAATATCAAAGCTAACCATAAGCTACTTGAGGGGAGACCACTAAGGTTCTGTCAAAGGTGACATAAATATAAAGGGTAGGTATAGAGCAGTGGTTCCCAAACTTTTTTGGCTCAAGGTACCCCTACGCATTTTTCCACCCAGCCGTGGTACCCCTAAACTGAAAATGATTATTTGACATTATTTGATAATAATAATTTTTCTGTCATTTTTTCAAAGTAGTAAAGAAAACATAAAATGAAGCCCCTCGTCTTAGAATATATTTGCTTACATCAAAATAAATTTACAAAATTGTTAAAATGTAAAATGTACATTCAATAAAAAACTATTAATATAATCTATGAAAAAATCCTGCGGCACCCCTGTAGTGACCTCGCGGTACCCCTAGGTGCCACGGCACCCACTTTGAAAACCCCTGGTATAGAGGGTAGTTCTGAGGTGCGGAGTGGGGGGGGGGGGGAACTAGCGAAGTACAGGATAGGTGCCAGGTGCCCTTTGAAGAGCTGAGGCATCAAGAAGTCATTAGAGATATACAGATATGCTTCATGTTCTGGTAGCACTCAGTAGCTCATTCCACCATTGCTCAAAAACACTTGATTTTTTTAGCATGAGTAGGCAATGCAAGCCGTCCAATGACCGAGTTGTTACTCTTTTATGAGAGCATGAAAGTAGATGGGGAATCTCCCACAGAGAGCTTTGTAGGCTAACATCAATGTCCTGATTTATAGCACAGGCGCTAAGTGTAGCCAATTGAAGTCAATAAACAGAGGGGGGGCATTTTCTTTAAGGGTGTTTGTAGACCAAATGCTCTGCTATGCTCCACAGGTTTCACAGCACTGGTTAGGTGACCAGTTATAAGGATGTTGTAGTAATCAAGGGGGAAGATACTGATAAGATAATAAGAATCTGGGTGGGACATTGGTTCATGCTTATCTTTGTTGAGTTAGGCAGTGCAAATTGGCATCATTGAGCAACTGAGTAATCTTTTAGGGTCAGCTGGCCACCAATTATGGTCTAGATACTTTTGATGGAGCCAGAGGTAGGGATTCAATCTGGGAAACCCACAAGAGTATGCTCTCAAAAACATGAGATTTTGGTTTTGCTAACCTATTGACATCAGTAATGTCAGGGTGATAACATAAGCAAGGACCGTCTCTGAAGGAGTGATGTGAGTTGCTGCCATTACCGACGAAAACTAAGGATGTCTAAATATTGCCCTTATATCAAATGCTCCGTTGTTTATTGCAAGTATATACAAGAAAATGTTTTCATTTTGCCTGTTGACCTAACTACCAGGGATCAATGGATAAAATTAATCTTTGACAACAATGTTCCACTGACTCTCTATGAGGCTATTCATGTTTGTGCTGCACAGTTTGCATCTAATGTTTTACTAACTTAGATGAATAACTAGGCAAAAATGGTATCAAGGCCATTCCAACAATCAGGTACTCACCTGCAGTGCAATCGGTAAGTGTAACTACTTTACTTTTTATAATTTATTGTGTAAGCCGGGAAACAATGGTAAACAAACTATGTAAAACTGCTAATGTTGCTAAGACTACATCTCCATGTAATATACAGAAAACAATAGAATAGAATTTAACTTTATTGTCATTACAATGTCATGAGTACAAAGCAACGATATGAAGTTTGCATCTATCCAGAATTGCTATACAGGATATAAATATTTATTTACATGTGTACAGAGACTATATATGCATGGACTATAAATGGTATGTATAAACAGAGAGTAATTGTAAGAGGCTATATGGAAGCTATATACAGATTATACAGCAAAGTTAGGATATATATTGATTATATTTATATATAAATATATATTTATATATATATATATATATATATATATATATATATATATATATATATATATATATATATATATATATATATATATATATATATATATATATACACTCACCGGCCACTTTATTAGGTACCCCATGCTAGTAACGGGTTGGACCCCCTTTTGCCTTTAGAACTGCCTCATTTCTTCATGGCATAGATTCAACAAGGTGCTGGAAGCATTCCTCAGGGAGTTTGGTCCATATTGACATGATGGCATCACACAGTTGCCGCAGATTTGTTGCCTGCACATCCATGATGCGAATCTCCCGTTCCACCACATCCCAAAGATGCTCTATTGGATTGAGATCTGGTGACTGTGGAGGCCATTTGAGTACAGTGAACTCATTGTCATGTTCAAGAAACCAGTCTGAGATGATTCCAGCTTTATGACATGGCGCATTATCCTGCTGAAAGTAGCCATCAGAAGTTGGGTACATTGTGGTCATAAAGGGATGGACATGGTCAGCAACAATACTCAGGTAGGCTGTGGCGTTGCAACAATGCTCAATTGGTACCAAGGGGCCCAAAGAGTGCCAAGAAAATATTCCCCACACCATGACACCACCACCACCAGCCTGAACCGTTGATACAAGGCAGGATGGATCCATGCTTTCATGTTGTAGACGCCAAATTCTGACCCTACCATTCGAATGTCGCAGCAGAAATCGAGACTCATCAGACCAGGCAACGTTTTTCCAATCTTCTATTGTCCAATTTCGATGAGCTTGTGCAAATTGTAGCCTCAGTTTCCTGTTCTTAGCTGAAAGGAGTGGCACCCGGTGTGGTCTTCTGCTGCTGTAGCCCATCTGCCTCAAAGTTCGACGTACTGTGCGTTCAGAGATGCTCTTCTGCCCACCTTGGTTGTAACGGGTGGTTATTTGAGTCACTGTTGCCCTTCTATCAGCTCGAACCAGTCTGGCCATTCTCCTCTGACCTCTAGCATCAACAAGGCATTTCCGCCCACAGAACTGCCGCTCACTGGATGTTTTTTCTTTTTCGGACCATTTTCTGTAAACCCTAGAGATGGTTGTGCGTGAAAATCCCAGTAGATCAGCAGTTTCTGAAATACTCAGACCAGCCCTTCTGGCACCAACAATCATGCCACGTTCAAAGTCACTCAAATCACCTTTCTTCCCCATACTGATGCTCGGTTTGAACTGCAGGAGATTGTCTTGACCATGTCTACATGCCTAAATGCACTGAGTTTCTGCCATGTGATTGGCTGCTTAGAAATTAAGTGTTAACGAGCAGTTGGACAGGTGTACCTAATAAAGTGGCCGGTGCGTGTATATAGTAGTGGGGTTATAATACAGGATGAATAATGACAGGCAATAGCAGATAAAAGAATACGGATTATATACAGCAATAGTTGAGAAGATAGTTGAGAAGTTGTTAGGATCCTCAGGCTTGCCCTCCAGAGGGCGCCGAGGATCCTCTTCTGCTCTGTGTTTTTCCCTTAGGGTTGAGTACTGTGGGGATCTGGAGACTACCCTCTGTCTCCAGCAGAGTGCGCCGTGGGTCTTCTGGAGCTGGAACCTTCCTGCACACCTGTTGCTAATCCTCTCATCAGAAGACCTCTCCTATATAAGCTGACTTCGGACCTTGATTCCACGCCGCAGTGTTGATCTTAGTTGGTTAGCTTCCTGAGCCTTCTGTTATAGATTGAGTCTTGGTTGTCTCTAGGTTGAGATCAGATTCTAATCTCTCCTTTATCTGTGCCTCACAGGAATCCTGTCTCTTTGTGAAGCTCTGGATAAGCTTAACCTCCTGTCTCCTCGTGAAGCTCTGGGTGAGCTTAACCTCCTGTCTCCTCGTGAAGCTCTGGATGAGCTTAACCTCCTGTTTCCTCGTGAAGCTCTGGATGAGCTTAACCACCTGTCTCCTCGTGAAGCTCAGGAAGAGCAACCTCTCTGGAACCCTGTCTCTGGTCTGCAGCTCTGGGAGAGCTGCATCACAGGAAACCAGTCTCAAGCCTGAAGCT